CCTAAAGTCCGCTTGTTTGCAATAACTATAAACAGTGGAACGAGAGGGCGATGAGCATGCAGTGGAAACAGTCAGCAGCCAAATCTAGTCCTCTCCCCGATAAGCTCCATCTGTAAATAGCTTGCTCTGCCCTCCTCTGGCAGAAAAAAACATTCATTTGAAGGAGAAGGTTTCAAATGGACCTACTGACTCACTTTCCACGCTCTAATCCGCAGATGAAACATGTATTCTTCAGCACATCCTCTTTATCGTTCTTTTCCGTCCTCAAATCACCAAAAGTGTCGATGATCACACCAAAAATGAGATTCAATGTGATCACAATAAGCACCACGTAGAACGACAAATCGTAGACGATACGGTAGTAGAACAGCTTCTCCTGGAGAAACAAGTAATAACTACTACCTTTCCAAGTTTTCATTCTCGAAACTCATTCCTTTCATCTTTATCAGTAAACTTTAAGACTCAACATTAAAAGAAGTGGTCAATTGTAGGGGTAATTAGTTCATATCAGTATTTTCCCATTTCGGGAGTGGTGCTTTTCGGCCTGGAGGGGGGATTCATTTCGCAGTTTTGCTGGCATTTTTTTCGATAGATCGTTCACCTAAAACGTCTCAACCTGTTAAGACCTGTAAACTCGTGAAACTGCGGAATGGTGCAAGGAAACCATTTACTCGAAGGAGTTCACAAATCGCCAAATGGTGGCCTGTACAAGCTTCCCTAATCACTATTTGATGCCCCCACCAAGCCGAATTGCGTCCAAGGTGCTCCTAGTTCTTACTTCTTTAATGGTTCGTCTGCGAATAGTAGTTCCAACAGCTTTGTCATTTTCATAGGGACGTGAAAAGAAGCCTGAAGATGCATCTCGTTCAGGGCACGTTTGCCGTTGCGGGGGGGGGGCATAGCCTACGCGAAACAGGAGAAATCATGAAAAGCCAACAACGCGAAAATTGCCGAGACCATTCCTACCCCTCCGTTCCACCACCAACCAGATACGTCCCCCACTTGCTGAAAATCCCAACACGACATGACCTGATCTCGCTATATTGTAGGGGTAGTAGAAGCAGAGATACCTTCTCGTGACCCTGAAATTTTAGACTTCTGCGTGGGAGGTATGTTACAAGGACCTAAAATCAGCTAGGTATCGCCTCACCTTCAAGGTCAAAGTTTTGCTGAGGTCAGGCTTCCATAAAGAGTTGCCAATTTGTTATGAAAGAGGACGTTCCGGCATGAAAGAACAGTACCCCCCCCCTTTCCCTCTGTACCACAGCTACTGTAAAGGGTGTATTTACGGACTTAATCATGAGAG